TACATTTTACAGTGCAACGTAAAAAATTTTTTTTTGACAGAAAAAATATTAAGATCATGTTTTAATAATAATGTTAAAATATGTTCTAATATAATGTTATGAATATCAACCTTTAGAAGGAATCGCTCCTTTTTTATATTTATTTTTTATGGCTGCTAATGATATTGCACCATCATCATCAGAACCATCATCGTGATAAGCATCACCACTGTACGCTCCTGTAGCACGATTAGTATTTCTGCTACCACTAGTACTTTTCTTCGTTTTGTTTTGAACTCGCATAGCCATACGTAGCTTTTCTTCCTCTTTCTAAAAAAAAAAAAATTAAAAACAGAATGCAATGACAATCAATTTAACATAATACATATATAGAAATGTTAACATGTACAGTATATACATACCTTTATCATTTCATACCTATTCTGATCTGGGTTCATTCCCACTTGAGAAAGAACTTTAATGCCAGATGTCTTTTGCGATCTGTCGGCCAAGGACATAGTCATCTTCCTGTGTGTGAACGATTCAGTGGAATGCGGCCGGAATGTTAGTTTTGTTCGAAATACTGCTTGACCCTGTAGACCTGTACCTTGGCGAATATAGAGGTGGTTGTGATCGCCCTGTAATGGCTGTTTATACACATCGAAAATTTCTGAACCCAAATGCAGCGACATACTACCGTCCGACCACTTAACGAATCTCGCGTTACTCTGTTTCACCATTTTGCCATCGTCACTAAATGATTCCTTCCACCTCAATGTATTTTCAACTTTGAGCTTCAGTCGAGCACGACCTTCTTCATCTAGAGTTTCTTCTTCATCAATTTCATCTTCGTAGGTGTCGTGATCGAATGGCCTTGTTTCGACAGATAAGAAATTCGGCAATTTCACAAAGTGAATCTCGCGTCCTAGATCGGTAGTAATTTTCGGGATTTCTACGTCAATTCGAGTCTCTGGAGGTGGTTCTGGTTCTTCTTCCTTATCTTTATCGTCCTCCTGCATATGGAATAAAATTAATGTTAAAATGTATTCATAGTCTTCTTGTCAAAATCCATTGCACTTTTCTTATCATATATTAAAAATAAGTGACATTCTAAAATCATTAAAAAAAAAAGTAAAAATTTGTTTAGTCGACTTACGTCTTCGATAACAGATCGACTTGGACCTTCTCCGCCACTCTCGGATCTGCCGCGGCTGTGACTCCTACTCCTACTTCTACTTCTGCTTCTGCTTTTGCTTCTGCTGCGACTTTTACTTCTACTTCTACTCCGACTGCGACTCCGTTCTTTTTCTTTTTCTTCCTTTTTATCCTTTTCGTCGTCTGTACTAATGTCACTTGCATCACCAAATAATGCGTCCGCAGTTGGAGCGACACTGTTTTCCTTGTCAGCTGTCTCATTCTCAGAATCTGAGTCTATTATCGGCTTACTTCGTTTCACAATTTGTTCCGTATCTGATCCGGAACTACTATGTTGCCGTTTATTCTTTGATTGTTCTTCGTCACTCTCATCGGATTTTGGACTACGATCGTTAACTAATTGAAGAAAAAATTTCAACATTAAACAATAATTAATTAGCTAATACAAATAATAACTTCAAGCTAAAAATCATTCTGAATATTATAATTAATGAAACTAAGCAAACCTGTTTGTTTGAAGGATTTGTTCGATTCATTATCGCTTTTATCGTTTTTCGGACTTTTAGATCTTGATCTCTTATCATCAGATCTTTTATAATCTGCTTTTTTTGGTTCATCAAATTTCCTCGAAGATGCAGAAGAATTCGATCGCCTTTCTGTTGGACTCGCTGAACCTCCTGACTTATTACTTCTTTGAGAAGAAGCACTTCGAGATCTACGACTTTTCGGGGAATCGTAACCAGATGCATTGGATGCGGGGGAGGCCGGAGTCTTGGATTTTCTTTCCACCGATCTAGAACGTGCAGATCTTGAACTGACGGGTGACTTTGGACTCGAGGAGCGTATGCTGCCGTGTGGTGATGGCGAGCGTGATCGAGGAGACTTTGGAGAATCCACCGAGCTGTGAGAGGCTGCTGATTTTGGCGTGCCGCTTCTGGATCTCGGAGAACCGGATTTTTCGCTCTGGACAGAACCCACGCTTGAACGTCTCGAGCCAGATCCAGCCGGTGATGACGGACTTTCCGATCGACGACTGCCGTCCAACTTATTCGACCCGACTGGACTCTGGCTGGTAGACCTCGAGGCGCGGCTACCGCTAGCGTTTGATGCGGGTGAAGCTGGTGCTCCGTTCTCGTCCTCGGAATGCTCGTCCCTAGCATTGGTTAACGTTTGTTGGGCCGGAGCCTGCGATGCTCGGCTATCACTACGGCTCGATCTCGAGGACGCGGAAGCATTATCGGACTCCGATCCTAAAAACAAAATCACGAAATCAGAAAGTCGCTCGCGATAAAACATAACCTCAAGTAGATAATTAACAAATTATCCGTTCTGTTTAATATTGTGAATATATTAAGATATATTAATATTTTATGGAATTGCGATACTTGCAGATGAATGATAAAAATAATATAATCTGTCGATATTACATACCAGAATCGCCGCTAGAATCACGCAAAGTTTCTCGCACCGGTGACATATTTACCATGTGTTCAAGATTGGATAACGGAGCCACTTCAAAATAGCTCAAATCGCTTAAAGAGAAACAATTCGTACGCAGATTTCAAAAATACATGGTGCACGGGAAAAATAATATATCAGTTATTCACCTTTCATTTTCTTCTTTTAAGAAAAACAAGAAACTAATATAATTGATTTATACGTTCCGTACAGCAGTTGCTATTAAAACTATCATGGTTAAAACTGTTTGTACACTCCAATACACTTTTTTTATTTTCCTTCTCTTTCTCTCTCCAACGTAACTGTGTTCTTATTTTATTTTAAGTGTAGAAAATATAGTACAACTATGTAACATTTTTTTTATATCTCAGAATTCCCAAATCATAGTTTTTTCAATATACATATCTTGAAATGTGCATCGTTATTCTAAAGTGATATAGCATATAAATATGTAAATATTGCATATACATATGTAAAATACACACACACACACACGCACATGCGCGCGCGCACACACACACACACACACACACACACATACATACATACATATATTATATATATGTACAAATAAGTAAATAAGTTTACAAAACAATATGTATGAAATATATACATAAAAATTACGTAGAAAAAATTAAGCAAATAATTAGAGATATAATTGTTACACATTTCAGTCACATATTGATTCAAAAATATATAATTATTAAATGTTCTATTAATGAAATCAGATAGAAAAAAAGGATAAATCGAGGAATAAATATATATAAAATTTTTTAAATAATTTGTATTTGCAGGAACATAAATATGCATGTGCAAAAATCGTTATGGATATAATAATTATAAACATTTATATAGCGTACATTGCACAATTTATAATTATATACTGAAACAAACGCTATTATATATCATTTCAACTAAGGTTTATAATTTGGATATCTTTGAAATAGTTTAATCATTTTTTCAACTCCTATTTATTACAACACAATTTTATAATACGCAACAAATAATTTCTGATATTATTTTCATATCATAGTATCGTCGAATTTTTATCAATTTTTTGATTTTTAATTTCTATTAAAAAATTCTGTTGATGTGTTTGAAGCTCAATGTCCACGATGCTAGAAATCAGTCCGAGATCTCGGACAGAGAAAAAATTAACAAATCACAAGTTGATTACATGATCATTGCGATTGGTCAATTTTTTCTTCATAAAAAAAATAGATCAAAAAAAATAGATCAAAATAAAATTCAGAAATATCTCCAGGTACACATTGATTTGACATTTACACAAATATCAGAGAATTATGTCAACTCTATAAATATGTGTGTGCGCGCGCGCGCACACACACACACACACACTCCCCCGCACGCACGCACGCACACACACACACACACACACACATGTATATTAGAATCTGCTAGAAATATTGAATTTTTTACTTTATACATTAAAATTATAGCGAACTTAATATGGATCGTGAACAATCCTATGTCAATATATTATCTGTAATCAGAAGATCGACAGAAGAAAATTAAAATTAATAATTTTTAAGTGAAAAGCAATTTGACATAATATACATACAGTGTAAAAGTAATTGAACTTAAATTTCGTACATGTTTATAATTAAAATCAATATATGAAACTTAATACAAAGGTAGTAAAGTAGTTAATTATAACCGGATAAATTCATAATTAATTATAACCGGAGAACTAAAATTCGAATATATATTTCAAAATATTTCTTTCATTTTTATTAAACTATATATATGATCGCAAATGAATATATTCTCAATAGTTGCTAGAAAGGCATATATTAACAATCAGCTGTGCAATAACATTCCAAAAGTAAAATATAAATCATTGACACCTACACAGATTTGTTCATAATTTTTCAGTTGTAATTGAAAAAGGCATTATTACGAAATAAATTGGACCCGCAAGTCTGGTGTTCTATGAAATTATGTATATGCATGACATATTTATCCCACCTATATTACATCTATATAATCATACTTACAAGTACTAGGCTTTCATTTTGCTTGTTATAAATAATTGAGTATTCAGAAAGACTGTCATTCTAATAATTTCCTAGTACTGTAATATTGCTTGAAAAGCTGAAGAGGCAATCACACGAATATTACATTAATTTATTTTTATAGATAATTTTTAACAGTCTTTAAATATATTCCTAACCAAAATTTATATATATATATCAGTATATTTATACATTTGTTTTGAGAGAATAGAAATCATTGTAAGCCAAACAAAAAGAGGTTTCTTACACATTTTTTCACTCAAGTTGTATATATATATATATATATATATATAAAGATTAAAACTTCATTTACTTTACATAGCAATCGTTCATCATGCAATTTAAAATTTATGCATGATTATGAATGAACGGCTAGAGCAATTCAAATATGTTTAGTATGTTGGACATTGAAATATACTCTGATTTACTCTGAGTGTATAAAGACATTTATATGTAACTGTATTCTTTTATAACAAATTTTCATTATACACCCAAAGATAATTATACATGTGTAAATATATTATACATCTATCTACAACACGCAAAACTTCTATTTTTAGTTGACATGTTTTATATATTATGCTTGCAGGTCTTGTAGTTTTTTACACGAAGGTGTTTCGAGACTTTTAGCTTTAAAGTACAGATCTTGATCTCCCAAATTACGGGCTTTCCACATTATATTGTCCCCTATTAGATTACATAGAAAATAAGTTTAAAATTTTCAGAATGTTTATAAGAAAGTTATGTTAATTAGCATCATAGTAGTATTATAAAAAATATAATAAATATATTGAAAGAGATATACGTACTGTAATTTTTCTCTCTGGCGCAAGTTTGCCTCAAGTTACTCACATACTCTTCTTCAATTGAAATTTCTAACCTACGTAAACTGCCTTGATATTCACTATGAAAGTTCTCCTTAACATAATATGACACTTTTAAAGCCTGAGTTGTTCTGGCCACAGAATATTTCCTATAAGTAAGAAAAAAATCATTATGTAAGTTTATCCTATAAAAATCTACATTTGTATTAATTATTCGTCGATCATACTTACGAACTTGCATGTAGACTATATACTGGATCGGATATGAAAAAGCTGCTCATCATGGTTAACATTATTAGTAACAGAACTGGTAACATCTGAAGAAATGTGGTATATCCATTTATTTGCTAAAAAATATTACATTATGAATGAAAAAAAATAAGGAAGTACTTTTGTAGAAATTATGCTAACAACTCAAATTTCTTTGTGCTCTACCTGAGAATGAGCATGTTGCGCTTGAGCGTCTGTCTGACGCATCCACCTTCCACCTGGCCGACGCATATAAAATTCTTGTTGTGGAAAACCAACACCGAAAAACATGTTGAATAATTCTTCGGCTGTGATATCGGCTAAAAAAGAGACAGATTATGTTTCGATGCATAAACTTATACAATGTATCTCTGTGTATGAACCGCTATTTTTCGCTAACATCGTATCTATTTCTATAATGCTCTATCCGTCTCACTTTCTGAAGCTTTGCTTCAGAATATAATAAAATATTTCAGTTTTACTTTTGATCGTAAAAGTCAATTTCTTTGCCGGATTTCGATATTGTTACATGTTTTTTGCTAACGCAGTGTGAACTACGCTCACGACTTATTTGTTCGCAGGATCGCAGCAAATTGACAAAAATTATTGTTGAATATTTTATAGTTGTCTGTATCATGGGATTCATGAGATCTGTTTTTTTGTGGCTGAAGTATCGTACATTTATATGTACATACCGCTAGTGTACATTTTTGAAACTTAAAGTGAGATATATGTTTAATAATTGGCGAAAGCAAAAAAGATAGTTCTAGTAGAGTCTAGTGCACGAATAAAAACCAGAGAATATGGTGTAATAAGAATGTGAAACGTTGCATAATGGAACAGCAAATTGCAATGCTACAGCTACTTAAAATTTTGACTATTCCTCAAAAACTCACAATTCACACGCAGAGTTGTGTTCCAAAATTCAACTCTGTCAACCTGAGTCTTATTATCCTTGTTGGTCACTGAATGTTGAATAAAGATAAAAGATACTCGGAGTTGACAGAGTCAAGTTTTGGAACGCATCCCAGGAATATGCGGTTTTTCTCTTAAGGAAATTCTCACATTTAATGAAATATAAGATGAGTCTGTAATATACATGCAATACAAAAGTTAATAATATCAATAATATGTAGAAAAAAATTTCATTGACTTTTACCGTACCATATAAAATTAACAATAATTATGTATAATGGCATAAGATATTAGTAATTATGTATAGTGACACAAGATATTATTAGTAAACCTTTTTATTCCATTATATATATTTTTATGAATAAATTGTCCATTGATTAAGAAGTAATGCGAGATTCTCCTTAATCTTCTTAAATCTCTATTACCTTCAAATCCACGAGTATAATTGTAATGTGTATGGCCTTGGCGGTTGTGTGCATTCTGCACTCGTTCTTCTTCGGGACCATATGTGTCGTATTGTTTCCGTTTCTCCGTATCGGTAAGAATAGCAACAGCATTGCCAATAGCTGTAAAAAATCAATTTTTTACATGTAAATATATTCGCAACTCTATTTTTTAAATATATTTTGATGTACCTTTAAAAGCTTCGGCAGCACCTGGTGCTTTATTTTTATCAGGATGTAATTGAAGTGCTAATTTCTTATAAGCTTTTTTAATGTCGCTATCTGTAGCATCTTTATTAACTCCTAAAATCTCATAATAATCCTTGCATTTTTTTATCCTACAATAATAAAGAATTCGTCTAAATGATTTATACAAAATAATTAAAATAATTAACAGATAATAATTGAAGAAATAATAAAGATCAAAAAATGAAAAAATAAATATTGCTCATTTACTACAATATAACTAAAAATATTGAAATTTTTTATTTGATTAAAAAAAATAGATATAAAGAAAAAAGATTTTTTAAACATTTTTATTCTTTTACAATTAATTATTACAGCAAAATTGTACTGTAGATTAATAAAAAATTTTAATGATTGAGTTCATTCAAACTCATTTTTTTTTTAGAAAACTTTGTTTTCCAAATTGTATTATTATATATGTTGTAATTGTATAAATGAACAATATATATTCCACAAATATTATAACTGTTTTAAAACTCTATAATACACTGGAGCAAGCCATCGAAATGTTTCAATTCTTAGACAATGATACTTTAATGCAAAGAAAATATTGTTTTCTTTGTCAGGCATTCGCTGATTGGCTAATGTTATTTTACTACCATAAGTAGGAAAGAGTCAGAATAATAAATATTTATCTTCTTTTCTTCTATTGGACTGCAGTTTTCTATATTTTAGTACAGGGAAAGTGTGCTCTGATACATTATAGTTCACTGAATTAAAATAATCTACCTCTTTACATGCTCCAACTGTTCTTTGGAATACTCTGAATTACCCTGGGAATATGTACTGTCTTTAGCTACATTTTGCCGCTTTCTAACATTAGGTTCAGTCGTCTCAGATTTCTGGTTCTGCTTTGAGAGTACCGTCACTTCCGCCAACAATTCTACAAATATAATTATTTAATTCCTGTAATCATCATCATTCTGACAAAAAGAAGAAATGTATGTGTACTCTTGTATAATAAAATAAGTTTTATTTTACCTAAATATATGTGGATAATGTAAACACAACAAATTCGTGAATAGAATAAATTCATTATATTATAAATAATAAAAAAACAAAGAAAGATTAAGTATACGAACAAAGGAATGAAAAAATAATTTCATTATACATATATTATACATATATTAATATTTATATAATATATTATTCATATATTAATATAAAATAAAAGGATGTTTTGATTTCATTAAATCTAGCTATAAATATAAGACTAATCATCATGTAAAAAAATAAATAAGAAAAATAATAAACAAGATAATAAATTAAAATATATATACAACAAAAAACTTGGAATAAATAAATGTAGGCAAACTCAAAAGTCTGTAATACATTCACATGCAAAGTATGCCAAAATTAATATTCTCGTGTCAATAGTACGTTAAACAGACTGTATGAAAATCTCAGGCTCACCGTCCGCCTTCTTGGTCGGGTAAAGTTTCTGAGCTTTGCGAATGAACTTTTCGGCCTCCTCGTACTTTCTTTCCCGCATAAATCGCTCCGCGAGTTCCATGCATCGCTCCGCTTCATCCTTGTTGCTGTCCATCTTTACTGTTCGTCACTCCGAGGTGTCCCGAATCCAAAATTCAAGCGTGCTCGTTCGTGGTCACAGTGACAGGGCAGAATGATAAATAAATCGCGAGGTGTGAATCTTCAGGCCTGACACTCCATCATAATAATTCAATATTAATTTAGTTACGTCATGAGCATCGTCACAACTGAGCGATTGCATACAGACAAGATGAGATACGGAATGAGGATAGTCGCTATTAATAATTAATCCATCGCTTGCTAATATAATTCCTTGTTACACGAACGAGCTGTATGTACGCCGAGGAAGAATTTCGAAGCGATTTGCAAAATAATCAATCTCCAGAAACTCGAATGTTCAATCGACTCTTCTGAATCAGAATATCTTACACAGTCACTCTTGTCAGTACTTGTTGAACGCGGATTGGCTATCGAGCGATGGCCACGAGTCTGTTCATTTTATTTACAACTTCTGCACTCATATATTTCGCTCGTTTTCCTCCGAAAGAGTAGAAACAAATCATTCTAATGAGAATAAACATTAAAATTAACACAGGGTCTGTTTTTTTTTTCAGCTAAAGTTTTTTTGCATGATTCATCTTTCTTCCTTTTCTCTTCACGTTGGAGAGAAAAAGAGAAAAGATGAACCGTGCAAGAAATTCAGCTAAAAAAAAATAGGTGAACAATAAAAATATACAAAAATCCGAAAGAAAAACGAAAAATTATTCGCAATATTGTATAATTCCTTAGAACAAATTAAAGAATAAAAAAATAATTCAAAGAATAATTTTGCTTTATCCTTGGAGCGGCATTTTAGTGCCATCTATAATTCGTTGTGTTTAAGAATTACAGTCTCAAAACGGCTGCGTCAGCGAACTCAACAATTGAATAAGTCGCTATTGATGCATTTTCTAATTAGATCTAAAATGCTGATTGGATGATCTAAAAGAATACACCAATAACAGCGAACACTCACTCAACTGTTGAGTCCGCTAAACGCAGTCAATAGTCTCGCCTGGTTTCGCCTTTACCAGAATTCTCAGCTGTAATTGGTGGATCCATTCAGAAGGAAGTCCATAACTATATATCGAATACCCTTCTAGAAAATATTTTAACCGCGTGTACGTTCATGTTCATTTTTTAACCGCTTTACTCTCTCATTTGTCGTGTTTTCATAGAAGTGTGAATAGGCACGATGGTGAGTTTTACACACATTCTCGATATATCCATTTACTTTCTTGCAATCTTATCTTCTTTCATATAAAATCATTTAAAAATCATATCTGTAAGCTTTGAATTTGTTTCGTATTTGTTTCAGTCGGCTCACAAGACATTTATTATCAAGCGAAAGCTTGCGAAAAAGTTGAAGCAAAACAGACCGATTCCCCAATGGGTGAGAATGCGGACCGGTAATACTATCCGGTAAGTTTAAGTTAGATTAGTGAATTATTATATACATAAAAGAATGCTTACTTAATTTTTAAGATGCATACGGATACTTGCTTCAATTTCTTGCATTGGTTATACGTCGCTCGTTTTCTCCTTGCACAAACGTTGCTATAACTTTGCTATATAGTATTTGTATAACAAGAATAGAATTATAGTTTTAAATTGCGAGAAAAGATTAAAACATCAATCTGAATAAGATTAATAAGAATTAAATGTTTTTTTTTGTTTAAAGATCTTGTAATTTGATAGATAGTTTTAAGAATTTCAATTATTGTTGTAATTTTCTTATTATGGATGTAACACATAAGATTTTTATGAAATAATTATTTTATAATATATTAAAAAATATAAATATTTCAATTCTTGATAATTACTTTTGGTATATATTCATAAAGCTTAGAATATCTTAATATTACAGCAGCATTGAAATATTTTAACTACATTAGAGTTCAATCATATAATAAAATATGGAACAAAAAATAACATATCATCTATTAGAAATCGTTGCGATAATATTATATAAATATTGAAGATCTGTGTATTAAAACCAATTTTTTATGTGTGTTTTTAGATATAATGCGAAGAGGCGTCACTGGAGGAGGACTAAACTAAAGTTGTAAATTAATACATTTGCAGATGATAAATAAAGATATCACTTCTGCATAAGAAATAAAATTTGTCATTTTTTTTTGTAATATCTCTATGCTATACAATATTAATATAATGGAGCATAATTTCACGTTATTGTATCAATGTATGATTTAAAATAAAACATTAACGTATTTTAATTTATATTTTACATTTCTCTGCAAAAAAAACGTTTTACACATTTCAATCTTTTGGACTTTGTTATATTTTCGTCACAAGTTAAATATATTGAAATAATTTTACCATCATTCAATTATAATTTGTTTTATAGAAGTTAATATATAGCAAATTTTCATATTTAGATTGCAAAGTATTCATCAATGCGTTTAGCGTCATATATAACAAAACTGTGATTTGATTAAGTACAAAACCCTTTTTAGATTATAACAAGACTTTATTTCCATTTTAACAGGATGAAGAAAGATCTGTTGCAAGTTAGAGTTACAATCTTAGAGAAATAGCACATTATTAATGAATCACTATAAAAATGAAATAAGTGCTGAAAGATGTATCTTTGATATATGATGATTTGTAAATATAATAGTTCTTAAATAATATATTTACAGTATTACAATCGTATTTCTAATATTACAAAGAATTCGGTATTTTGCGCATACGCAGCTGTTTCATCCAATCGTTTAACAATTCCTCGCCAGTTTTGGGATGTGGCAGATAATAGTGCTTAGGTGGCGGTCCTTCTTCCAAGCGTACATAATAGTGGCAATATCTGTAATGTATAACTCCCATGCGTGCCTTAGCATGTCGTCGTATACCCTTTATTACAATACCTTTGGTGCTGAATGATTCCGCTGCACAAGAAATAATTATTTCCTTGATATTAATTGAATGATTAAAATTTAGTAAGTATAAGAATACATAAAACAGAAATCTCGAATATTGATTGATTCACATACTCACCGACCCACAAATTACTTTTAAATTCAACATTGTGTTCTTCTACAGCCAAACGTTGAGCTTCCAATATAACTTCCTTTGCAATCTCAGCGCCTTTCTTATACATAAAACTCAATTGTTTTACAGCTTCGTCCACAGTCATTCCTCGTACAAAGCTTGCGATGTACCACATTTTTTTCGGACTGTATTTTATATTGGCTTTCATATGACATACATACTAAAAAATAATGAACAAGCGAAATGATCAATAAATTAATAATAACCAATATTTAGTACACATACACAATATATAACTTACAGCAGGTCTTCTTTCTTCACCTGGTTTTTGAGGTGGAAATACAGTTTTGTTATAATCTAAAAACCTCGTCGGAGTATTGTATTTACTTAAATCAGTTCTACAAATTGCAGAAATATGTACATTACATGTTGGTGTTCGTGCAAAATTTGTTGCACTTGATAGTATACTCGTCTTGTTTATAGCAGATTTGCTATATGATGCTAATTGTTTAACACACTGGCGAATACTCTGCATATTCTATAAATATAAAAATTTGCCACATATTCTATAAATTAAAATTGAATAATAATAAAATTATTATATTAACTTAATACTTAATACTTCGACTTAAGACTTAATACTTCGAAAATATAACAAATTTCAATTTATATTTTTTTGATAAATGAGACTTATATCCAGTAACAATAATTTTCGTAAAACGTTTTTTTACAGAGAGATATGTATAACATAACCTGTAATAATGTTTATTAAGTAGAACGATAGACACATACTTACTGTAAGTAAATACTCTTGCAAGAAAGAAATTTTCACTTTGCAAACGTATTTAATGTATATTTTCGTATTTAATTACACTTTATTTCGTAACAATAATTGATTTTAGCACGCATA